TGCATAGTAAGTGCTCCATAAGTAATAGATGTAGTTAATTATTAGCTATATAAATCTTTCCTACCTGAAAAGATCTTTGGATGTGTTGGCTGTATTTACTGACCTACCTTTTTAGTTTAACGTATAAAACTGATAAGATAAAAGAGAGGATGCCTGATTTGGGTTCGCAAAATTAAGCCTTGTCTTCAGTAAAACTCCCATAAATACTGTAATAAGGCAAAACTAGAAACACTTTTTATAGTACATATACAGAAATATACTAGCAATTCTTTAAAACAATAATTAAGAATATAGAAAATTAGGTGAAGGACATGGGGAAGTAGTTGGAAAAAATGCGGATGGCCAATAAATATTTTTAAATAATAATGTCACAAAGAAATAGACCATTAAGATCTGCAGATACATTTTTAGATGTATTTTGAATTAGTAGGTAATGACCATCTTTTATGAGAGGATTCCAAATAATTAGTTCACATGTGCATTTTCTTTATAGAATAAAAAGCTAGAGATAAGAAGTTGTGCTCTACAAATAGGACACTCTTACTTTCAAAGAATTCATGCAGTTCCTTTCAGATACCAGAACCAGGTGTTTTGTTCTGGACTGTCGAATAGAAATGGACTGCCCACATTCCTGGGAATGCAGACCTAAATTCATTCTAGAATATGGATGTAAATATATTCATGGCAGCTTTTATTTATATTTGAATAGACTACATAGTAGCTAGAAAAATCTTTTACAATAATGTTATGTTGTTAATCCTTTTTCTACTTGAAACTAAAGAATTTTAAGAATGCCTACTTCAGTATTAGAATTTATGCAGGTGTCTTTTTCTAATCTGTCACTTATATATATTTTTTTCTGGTTGGGGGAGGTAATTAGGTTTATGTATTTATTTATTCTTAGAGGAAGTACTTGGCATTGAACTCAGGACCTCATGTGTGCTAAGCATGCACTCTACCACTGAGCTATAACCCCCCCCCTTGTCACTTATATGTTATCATGTATCTTTTGTTGTATAGAAACTTTAAATTTGGATAGTACATCTAGCATATGATAAATACGTGCATCCAATAAGAATTCAGTTAAAATGAATACCAATATTAATTTTGGTAGTTATAGTTAAACTTGGGAGACATTTATTTTTACCTTCCCTCATCACTAATCATGGAGACGACTGGCTAAATCTTCTGTCTCCTCAAGATAACATACACTATTGAGTGACTGTTACATCCTATGGAGAACTTCAGTCTTTCATCCCAAGAGCACTCTTTGAACTGATCTATGCAACATTAATATTTACTAGTCTTTTCTTTCATGACTTGCCAATGTTGATCTTTTCTAAGATATCTTTCCTAGTATTAAGTTATAGAGATAGTTTCTTTTCATAGCTTTGGAGTATTTTTTAACTGAAGTATAGCTGATTTACAATATTGTGTTAGTTTCTGGTGAACAGCAGAGTGATTCAGTTCTACACATATATATTTTTTCATATTCTTTTTCATTATTGGTTATAAGCAGCTGTTGAATATAGTTCCCTGTGCTATACAGTAGGACCTTGTTGTTTATCTGTTCTGCATATAGTAGTTTGTATCTGCTAATTCCAGACTCCCAATTTATCCCTTTCCACCCCTTTCCCCTTTGGTAACCATAGTTTGTCTTCTGTGTCTGTGAGTCTCTGTTTTGTAAACAAGTTCATTTGTCATTTTTTAAAGATTCCACATATAAGTGGTGTCATATGATATTTGTCTTTCTCTGTCTGACTTACCTCACTTAGTATGATAATCTCTAGGTCATCCATGTTGCTGCAAATGGAATTGTTTCACTCTTTTTTATGGTTGAGTAGTATTCCATTGTGTGTGTCTGTGTGTGTGTGTGTGTACACACTACATCTTTATCCATTCATCTGTCAATGGACATTTAGATGGCTTCCATGTCTTGGCTATTGTAAATAATGCTACTATGAGCATTGGGATGCATGTATTTTTTTGAATTAGAGTTTTCTCTGGAACACACCCAGGAGTGGGATAGCAAGAAAGTGAGTTTTGAGTGCAGGAGTTCTTGTGTTTCCAATTATCTGTCTTGAATTGGGGGATATTTGTGGGATCCTGAGACTTCCTGCTGACTTGGAGAAGTACAATGTGTTGGATAAAAATATGGACTCTGCTGCTACACTGCTTGGGCTGGAATTTCAGCTCTACCACATAGTAGCTTTATGACCATGGGAGAGTTACTCTTAACCCTGAGTTCCTTACCTTTCAAATGGACAATAATAGTAGCTACTTCATAACTTTATTAGGTGAATTTTGAAAGTTAATATATCTAAAGAAATTCTAACTGCTTGTACTCAATAGAGACAATGATGATGATGTTGTTGGTAGTAATGATCATAGATCATAGAGATAGTTTCTCAGAAACATTCATTGTGATTCAGCCTTTGGTAATTTTCATTGGTAGTTCTCATTTTTCTATCTTATTTATACTATGTCTTGAATATTCTCCCAAATGTGGGATATACATTTCTTTCTTAGAGGCTTTATAGATAAATATTTTTATTTCCTTATTTGGATATTGAAGTTTTTAAATAAGGAGGAAGAGTTAGATATTTGTGATCAAGTAACATTCTTTTCTAGAAATTTATCATTTGTTTTTTAGTTTCTATTATACCACTCTCATAGTTTTCTCATCCTGTGATTGTAATACAATAAGCAAGAAACAAAAACCTGAGACTCTTTCTTTGATGCTTTACTACTGATAATGCCCTTGGCCCTTTACCCACTGTGTATGTTCTCTACAACCCCTCATATCCTTTAGCCATGCATTCAGCTCCCAATTTTAGGTTGATGGACTGAGAAATTGTCATCTCCCCTCTTTGTACTGCTAACTGCATGGTGGAACATTTCCATCTGGAAAGTCCTATAGAAATTTCAAACTTTGCACATTCAAATTTTCACACCCCTCCTCCTTCCTCCTGCCTTAATTCTCTCCCTTCCCTACATTTTCTGTGTTCTCTTTCTCACTAGATCACACAATTGCTTGGACTGGTTCTAAGCCAGTTACCTGTGAGTCACATCTAACTCTTCCATCTCTGTCACAGTCCAGTGCAAATCAGTGACCACCATTTCCAGTTTCCTGCATAACAGATGAATTACAAAGTTTGCTGACTCAATAATTAACATACTCTTATAGGATACTTCTACTATGGTGTATTTTCTCCTACAGTATAAATACAAAATTAGGTAAATGTAGAGCTGATATACACTATCTGATCCCTGGATAGTAGCTAAATGAGTTCTTACAGCTTTGACCATAGTGTCTAGTTTTGATGGCTTCAGATTAATTAAGGTTGTGCTTTCACAGGAAACAGTAACATTTAAGGATGTGGCTGTGGACCTCACCCAGGAGGAATGGCAGCAAATGAAACCTGCTCAGAGAGACTTGTACCGTGATGTGATGCTGGAGAACTATAGCAACCTAGTCACAGTGGGTAAGGGTAGCTTTGCAACTTTACATAGATTCTTTTCCATTTTTGCAATGTGTGAAGACTTCAGCTTGCCTGATGTCGTTAACTAGGCTTCCCGTTCTCCATGTGATTGTATGTGCTCGTCTTCAGAGTAAAGGCTAATTGCTTTGTCTCACTGTGGAAGTTCCTCCATTCTTACCTTTCACAGGTTCTCAAGTCCCCAGGACTTAGCCCAAAATCTAGATGACTGTCTCTAGCGTTAACATTCAAGTCCTTTGCTGTCTCCCATTATAGGCTATCAAGTCACCAAACCAGATGTGATCTTCAAGTTGGAGCAGGAAGAGGAGCCATGGGTGGTAGAAGAGGAAATATTTGGAAGACACTATCCAGGTAAGTAAGTGAAAAGGCAGGTCTGAATAGAAAGCCAC